TGTATCTGTTTCTTATAATTTATAGCTCGTTCAAAAGATCTCATCGAGCTAAATCTAATGGTCTAATTTAAAACTAACTTTTAACTATTAAGTTTATTGAGAAATCGATAAATACATTTAAGAATTAACTAAATAAATTAAATAACTAAAACTCATTTTATAACAAGACGACCAATAATATGTGAATTTTAGAGATCTCTGTAGTTTAAACATAACAAATATTTTACTATGAAAATTTATTTATTTATAATTTTAGATAAATTTAATACAATAAATTAGAAAACATCTTTATATAGGTTTAAAGCTATGCTATCAATATATCATTTACAAATTAAATTTTCTTTATTAGAACGATAGTTAGAGTATTTTAAAAATGCATTGAATTTATAATAAAATATAATTTTTTCAAAAAAATGATCAAAAATCTTAGTGCGCCAATCATATAATGATCTGGCATATAAACCTCAATAGCAAATCATATGATAAAAACTTGATTTTCAAAGCAGACTCTTTGAATATCTCTTTGGAATTCGTATTAATTCTAAGTTGATATGTTCTTGCTATCATACTTATAATTTTGCTTATAAGTTATTTATCATTGACCCTCCCTGTCAACTGATAACCTGTTATAATCGATCAAAATTTGATCCACCTTCTCCATTTCTGATATCTGATAATCCTAAAAATTGCACTTCTGATTGGCTAGATATGGTTATTAAAAAAATTAATGATGATAATTTTAAATTAACGTTAATTAAAAAAGACTTGGGTTTATTTGAATCTACTTTAGGTTCAAATGATCCAATTCGGGTTCACTTGAAGGCTATTGCATACAATATTTGCGTACTTATAGATACAACAATAACTAGCATTACTAATTCTAATCCTAACTCTGACCAATGTTGTGTTCATAAGTCATATAAATGTTGTGTCTGTAGCTTTTCCTGATTCGAATACACATGATCCCAACTTGAGTTCATTTGATCCTAATTCAGATCTAAATAATCACAACACAAAAATAATAGCGGAAGATTTAAGGTACTTATTTTATTTTAAAATTATTGAAAATAAAAGTTTTTACTATATTTTCTTTATTTAGGTTATGGAAATATAAATATTCAATCAAAATAATATGAATAAAGCATGGTGTCAAGCAAGGATACAGAAAATTGATTACGATAATAGGCATTATATAAGGTCACGTGAATCATTCAGCATAGTTGCACTCTTTAATTTTAATAGAAATATATGCGAAGTAATAGTAGATCACATGATCGAAAAGAAAAGCAGCCACAAGAACCCGCCACAAATGGAGAAGGTGGATCAAATTTTGATCGATTATAACAGGTTATCAGTTGACAGGGAAGTCAGCAATAAGGCAGTTAATTAAAGGTTGATAATCATATGCAAATAAATACAGTAGCATATGCTAGCAAATACGAACAATGTAGCAGCTAACAATAGGGTATGACAAGGTAGGCATAAATTCACTGAATAACGAATGAAGGTCACCTTGGTAAACAAACTCAGAAACAAGAAAATTTCTCAACCTTCCTAATCCACCCAATGGAAACTGACAATCACGTAGTCTTGCTATTTCTTCATTATCATTTCTCTACTCTCATTAAGGGCTTACATGTCTCTGCTCACAGCTGGCTTGCCTCAGCAAAGCGGAAAACCACTGGCTTGTCAATCCTGCAGTGACTCCTAGTGCTGTTCCTAACCAATCTCGGTCAATTATTCGCTTTATGCTATAATGCACTAATGTATTTATTAACTAAAATAAACATCACATCCA